GACTTAAACTCATTTAGAGACCCAGCAGACCTCACAGACAGTGGGAGATTGTTCCAGAGCCGAGGTCCTGCAACTGAAAAGGCTCTGTCTCCCCTGGTCACAAGCAGAGACCTGGGAACAACTAAAAGCTTTAGATTTACAGATCTCAGGGATCTGTTTGGAATGTGAGGCTGTAAAAGTAATAAGATAAACCAACTTCAGACAACTTCACATTAATCGATAACTTGCATCCCTAATTTGTACAGGAATTAAATTAATTTATTTCTACTTATATTTATGTAATTAATAGGGTTGCGCATAATCGTATTGTGTGCAGTTAATCGTCAGAAAAACAATCGATTACTTTTTGGCACTTGATGATTAATATGATTAATGCCACCAGGCAGTATCTGCTCAGTTCTCCTCTCTGCTTCAAATATGATGAACATAAAAAAAGGTTCTGTAATTTATTTATCTATCAACACAATTTAAAAATTGATGTATAGCCTGAAGTCTGTAATTTTGACACAATTTGGAACAGATTTTTACGAAGAGCAAATCTTTCCCACTAAATTGGTCATGAGACCAGGACATAAGGGTGTCCAGGGACTCCAGGGGATTAATTGTCAAATTAATCGTTATCGGCTAAATACCACAATTAATCGTGATTAATTTTTTTGACAATATTGCCCAACCCTAGTAATTAAGTGTTTTAATGATTTGTCCGATTAATCAATTAAATGAAAAAATAATCGACAGATTAATCGATTATTATAATAATGGTTAGTTGCAGCCCTAATAGAATAAAATAGAGTGGAAACAGTCTTTATTGTCCCACAGAGGGGACATTTGGGTATAACAGCAGCAGCAGATACAGAAATCCACAAAAAAATATATTGCTATGCAAAATTAGCAATTGTAGTGATAATAATAGATTTAAGATAATAGTATTAAAATAAAGAAAAAAGATCAAATAAAATAAAAATACTGTACAAGGCAATAAAATTGAAATAAAGTAAGAATAAGATAAGATTTGTAGTGTAATCAGTTGAAATTAGGTTGAAAACGATTTGCAAATCATCATATTGTGTTTTTATTTCTGTTTAGCACAATGTCCCAACTTCATTGGACTTGTTTTTATTTATATATATGTTGTTCCCTGGATTTGTGAACATTTTTCTGTGACTTGTTCAGGCAGACGTCTCTGGTGAAGGCATTCAACCTGTTTGTAGTGATTCTGCTTGTAGCTTCTCTTAAAGTAAGAAAAACATCTTGTTGTTTTCTTCCCCTCAGGTCAAATCATTGTGGTCATTTGGGTCATTGTTTCAAACAGTAATGACAAGCAAAAGTATACCCTGAAGATCAACCATGATTGTGTGCCGGAGCAGGTGATCGCCGAAGCCATCCGTAAAAAAACACGAAGCATGTTGCTCACCCCGGAGCAGTTGAAGATGTGCGTCCAGGAGTATCAGGGAAAGTACATCCTCAAGGTCTGCGGCTGTGACGAGTACCTCCTGGAGAAATATCCCATTAGTCAGTACAAGGTACTCTATTATTTGCAGTTGATGAGCCTTGAAAGTCTATCATTGGCTTCAAAATGTCACASTCTGAAACATCTTAAAATGTTAATTTGTCCTCAACAGTACGTCCGCAGCTGCATCATGCTGGGAAGAATGCCCAACTTGATGTTGATGTCTAAAGACAGCCTTTATTGCCAGCTGCCCATGGACAACTTCACCATGCCGTCGTACGCGAGGCGGATATCCACGGCGACGCCCTACATGAACGGCGAAACAGCCACCAAGTGTCTGTGGACCATCAATGGAACTCTGAGGATCAAGATACTCTGCGCTACTTACGTCAATGTAAACATCAGAGACATTGACAAGGTACAGACATCTGTTAATTCCTAATGTCACATCTTCAAAACGTAGGTGTACAGATAAAGATACTCGGTGGAMTTGTGTATAAAAGCTCTGCTCTTGTTGCTGTAGATCTATGTCAGGACTGGGATTTACCATGGTGGAGAGCAGCTGTGTGACAACGTCAACACCCAACGTGTGCCCTGTTCAAATCCCAGGTATAGACGGTGTGAAGARCGCATTCTGTTTCATGTGCTGGGATTCCGCTCACCTTTTTATCAATTTGTTTCCTGTTGATTTCAGGTGGAACGAGTGGCTTAACTACGACATGTACATTCCAGAAATTCCCAGAGCCGCCCGACTCTGCCTGTCCATCTGCTCTGTGAAAGGAAGGAAAGGAGCTAAAGAGGTTAGCCGCTACGTCAAAACTATTAAAAATGTTTAGGTCTTGAACAACATAGTGGTGTTTTCTCATATTTGGGTGTTTTGTACCCATGAAGGTACTGTTACTGCAGACATTTCATTAACTTCAAAGACAGCTTAAGGCCCTTTCACACTGTTTTAGACAACTTATGATTTTTTTTAATCTGATCATTTTGTCAAAATTACTGATAAAAGTTATATATTGATCAAATTTACAGTATATACACGCCTAAAAGAAGCTTCCATTCAATGTAGATGTCTAAAATTTTTCTAGTTCAAGTTTATTTATATAGCGCCAAGTCACAACATATGTTGTCTCAGGGCACTGTACATAAAAACAATAACCTAAAGAAGAGAGACGAAACGTTTCATTAAAGAAGAACCCGTCCAGAGGACCTATACAATTTTTTTTCCTTTAACCTAAAGAAGAAACCAGCAGATTGTGTTGAATCTCTTCATCACAGTCTCCTATCCTGAGCAAACAGTGGAGAGGAAAAACTCCCTGCTAATCAGGAAGAAACCTCCAGCAGAACCAGGCTCAGGACAGGCGGCCATCTGCCTCAACCGGCTGGGTTGGGGGACAACAAACTAACCAAGTAAACTGAGGTCCTATGTTTTTTTGTCACTTCTGTAAAAAACGAAACCAAATATTAGTTTCTTTATTTCTTCATCATCAGTGACTTTTTTAAGTGAAGAAAAAATAGTGACGGAGAGAAAAACAGAGAGAGAAGT